CCCCCCCCTCCCCAGAGATTCTGACTCAGCATCCATGGGGATGCAGGGGCAGCCTGCTTGTCTAACAGGTGGCCCAGATGAGTCGAATGCAAGTTGCCAGTGGAGGACCACACTTTGAGAGTATTTCTTAGCTCTTTGGCTGAGCTGCTTTCTTCAAAGCCCAGAAAATGAAACATATTCTTTCTGATTATAGAGGCCCCCAGAATGAAAAGTGACAACAAGGAAAATCCACAGCCAGAGGGGGCTAAAGGAGGAAAGCCATGTGCAGTGTCCCCTGGCAGATCCAAAGGGAATGGTCTGCAGAGTCCTGAACCGAGAGGGGCGAATATGAATGAACCCCGGTTGTCACGGAGGCAGGTCAGCCCCCCGAATGCTCAGAAGCCATTCACTCACTACCAGAGACATTGCAGGGAACTGGAATACATCAGCAGCCCCCTGAAAAGCCACCCACTGAGAGAGCTGAAGAAAAGCAAAGGAAGCAAAAGGAGCCTGAGCAGTCGTTTGCAGCGTCTTGGTCACCAGCCAACCCGCTCAGCAAAGAAGCCTTACAAATGTGATGACTGTGGGAAAAGCTTCACGTGGAATTCAGAGCTGAAAAGACACAAGCGTGTACACACAGGGGAGAGGCCCTACACATGCGGAGAATGTGGGAACTGCTTTGGGCGCCAGTCAACCCTGAAACTGCACCAGAGGATCCACACCGGGGAGAAGCCATACCAGTGCAGCCAGTGTGGGAAAAGCTTTCGCCAGAGCTCAAACCTCCACCAGCACCACAGACTCCACCATGGGGACTGAAAGCAGGGCTTTGTTCTCTCTGTTCATAAGGAAGGCATCTGTGTTTCTCCTTCCCCTTACTTGCATGTAAACCACAGACTGTCTGTGTGACTTACAAGGAAAGCAAGAAGTCCCTGAGGAATGCTGGTGCACTTTTGGCTACTGAGGAGTCCCAGAAGACACCAAGGGGGATGTGACCCTGTCGGTGACAGAGTGAAGAGATGGCAGGTCTGGGTGTTGGGTCAGAGAGAACCAGGATCTCTGCTGGAGAGCAGGGAGTAACTGCTAAGACAATCCGGCTGATCCTGCAGATGCCCCTGCCTCTTTATTTATTCTCTAAACATGTCCAAGGGTAAATTACATACATACTTAATGTACTTGCTATCATACCAGACAATCTTTATCTCTCTCTCTCTCCTCACAAACACACACACACACACACACACATACACACACTTCTTTAATAAAGATCAGTGACCCGCTAGAATTTCAAGGCAAAAGTTCATTGGAATATAAATCCCCTAATATTCTTACTGTAATTCCTGGCCATAACAAAGGACACATGAAGTGAGAGTTTGAACATGTTTGTATGAGGAAAGGCTTTCCAAGTAAATAGTGCTTTTACACACACACACAAACACAAACACACAGGATGAGGGATCTATTTATATGAAGGCACCTTTGATTTAGGAAGAAATCTCCACAGCTGCTGCAGCCCCCACCCAGGCAACAGGGGAAAGCTACAACAGGAAAGAAGCACATAGTGTGTGTGGACAGCTAAGGACATGCCAAAGGGACCCTTACTACTCTCCTTCCTCACTTAGGCCGGCAGCCTTAAGAATAACAAAAGACTGGGGTGATGAGTGTTATAAAAGTAGATTATTTCAGTACATTTACTTAAACTCATTGAAATGGGTTAATTTTATGATATATAAATTATATCAATGAATTTTCTTAACACAAAATATATTTGTATAAAATGTGAAAGTCCTGGAACGAGGCTGGAGAGTTGATTGAATTCCATCCTTTCATTCTCTCAAAGTAAAAATCCAAACCCAGTCAGTATAGTTTTCAGTCACCCAGAGCAAGCCAGCGGACCTCTGAGTTCAGAGAAGACCTCCAGTAGACGGGTGCACTGCCTCCAGCAGGAAACGGGTAGGTGGCATTCTTGCTAAGGCATCACTATCCTCCAGTCACTGCCAGTCACCTCCAGGCTGTGTCCTGTGCTGCATCCTCACCTCCCAGGGCACATGCTGTTCCCTTTGATTTTACAACCTGCCACCCCCCACTGCTTCCTCCCTGTCCCGTCTCACAGGAGCATCCTACTCAGCAAAACCCTCTCTGACCGGTTCCAGGCCGGCTTTATTGTGTCACTCCCTGCTGTACTCCACACACCAGTGGTGCTCAACCTGGGAGCAGATTTGCACCCCTCTCCGCCCTCCCCAGCGAGACATTTGGCCACGTCTGGAAATGCTGTTGGTCGTTATGACTTGGGGGGTGGGAGGGTAGCTCCTGGCCTCTCAGTAGAGACCAGGGATGCAGCTAAATGTCCTACAGTGCACAGGACAGCCCCATAGCAGAGTCACCTGGTCCAAAGTGTCAGTAGTGCCAAGGTTGGGGAACTATACCGTACACGGTAAAAGCTCTTTAAGGACAAGAACCTTATTTTTCCATCATTTTAGCTTTTAGACTAAGCCCATGCCCAGCCAAGGGAAATAGGTGTTCAGTCAGGGCCCGGTCCTGCCTGAACCAGAGATTCTGGTGACAGTGTGTTGAATGCATTTGACAAAGCCTCTTGTCTTTTGGGCAGAGAGAGACTTAATGGAAGCTCAGTGGCCTTTAGACTACGTCGCAGTCCACTTCCCAGCAACCGTGTTAGATGTTAGAGGAGCTTGTCTTTATTACTACGCCTGCGCCTTACCTCGCCCCCGTCTATCGCCTCTCACTGGTCAGGGCCTCTTGATTCCTCATTTGCTCCCACCTCATGCATCCTTTTCCAGGACAGTTTTGCTGTCACAAGACCCTCCTCATCATGGTTACGTCTGTGTCCGTGCCCTGTTGGCGCTATAACATGATCACAAACTTAATGGCTTCAAACAACACAAACATAATCTCTTAGAGTTCCAAAGGTCAGGAGTCCAAAATCAGTTTCACAGAACCAAAATTAAGGTGTCCGAGGGGAGAATCTGTTTCCTTGCCTTTCTCAGCTTCTAGTGGCCGCTTCCTCCATCTTCAGAGTGCATGCTTCCTCCTCTTGTCACCACATCCCCTTGTCCTCTGACTCTGACCCTCTGGCCCCCTGTAATAAAGGGCCATCATTATATTGGGCCCACCCAGCTAATCCAAGATAATCCCCCCATCTCAAGATTCTTAATCACATCTGCACAATCCCTTTTGCCATATAAGGTAACATTCATGGATTCCAGGGATTAGAATGTGGACATACTTGGGGGGCCAGATTCAACCAAGCACACCTGTCTGTTGAATCAACTTGGTTAGTCAAAGATCTCTCCTAAAAGCAAATGAACATAGATTTCCACTTTTATTTATAAGAGTTGGGATAGGAACTCGTCCTTAAATGAAAGCTTTGTTTGTTTGGTATGTGTTGAAGAACCTGTATGTGTTTTCTCTCTTCTGAACAATAACTGCTGAATCTTAAAAGTCTTTGGGTATCTGTTCAACTGTGGTCCTTGAATAAATGTGACAAAATTACCAATCTGAATATTACTCATTCCCAAAAGGTTTTCAAGCCTGTGATGCTACCTCACCTCTCCCAGTCCAGTTTCCCTCTGGCAGATGAGGCTCAACTCCAGATGAGGAGAGTCAGGGCTGGCAGAAGGCGCCCAGCCACATTTGCAGGTGTACTCAGTTCTTCAGATGTAGGATCCTTCCCGTCCCCCTTGCCCACGTGTGGTTCCACCACAGGGCCTCCACACAGACCACTGACTTGCAGGCTTGCACTTAGCTACCCCATATAAGAAATACCCTTTCTCTTCACCCACGAGCAACCTGTAAGGTTTACCATCTTTTCTGGGTTTGGCCTGTATTTAGCCATGGAGGGGGATGACTCCCACTCAAGTTATTTGGTCCTCTGGTGGCCCCCATTGAGACAGGGGGAGAGGGAAACATCATGCGTGGTGGGGAACCTGGACTTCGCAGATGTCCCTGGAAAGCATTTTCCATCTACAGCAGATAAAGGCTTGTAAAACCCTTCCCATAATACTATTACCACTCCTGACAGAATTAATGACTCCCAAATACCATCCAATACATAGCATTGAAATTTCCCCCAATGTTTCCAAAAGAAAAATGCTGTTTTTACAGCTTTATGGAGATCTCACATAGAAGGTTCATCCGTTTATATAGTTCAATAATTACACTATATCCACAGAGTTGTGTAACCATCACAATCTAACTTGAGAACATTTTCAACAGCTAAAAATAAACCCCGTCACATCTAGCAGTCACTCCCCATCCCTGTGCCCTCTTGAGCCTCCTCTTCACTCAGCACAAAGTTTTCAAGGTTCAATCATGTCATAGCAGGTGTCAGTACTTTGGCCTTTCCGTGACTTAGTAATAGTCCACCGCGTGGATGGACCACTTTCATTTATCCATTCATCCAGTGGACATTTGGTTGTTTGCATTTCGGGGCTCTTGTGAATAGTGCTGCTGTGAACGTGTGTACTAGTTTTTCTGTGAACAGGGCGCCTGTGTGGCTCAGTCGTTAAGCATCCACCTTCGGCTCAAGTCATGATCTCAGGGTCCTGGGATCAAGCCCCACATCGGGCTCCCTTCTCAGTGGGGAGTCTGCTTCTCCCTCTCCCTCTGCCTCTCCTCCTTGCTTTTGCTCTTTCTCTCTCAAATAAATAAATTTTTTTAAAAAATCTTAAAAAAAAAGTTCTGTAAACATGTATTTTCATTTCTCTTGGGTAAATACTAGGAGTGGAATTGCTGGGTCATGTGGTAACATCATGTTTAGCCGTTTCTGAGGAGCTGCCAGGCTGTTTTCTACAGGGTCTGCACCCCAGTTCCCCACCTGCAGGTGTGAGGGTCTCAGTTTCCCCACATCGCCATCAGTGTTTGCTATCGTCGATTTGATTATAGCCACGCTAGTCCGTTTGAAGTGCTGTTTCACTGTGGTTTTGGTTGGCGTTTCCCTGATGTTGGGCATCTTTTCATATGTTTGCTGGCCATTTGTGTATCTTCTTTGGAGAAATGGCTATTCAGAACCTCTGCTCTTTTAAAATTCGGTTGTCTTTTCATTGTTGTAAGAGTCTTTTATAGATCCTGGAATCAAGTTCTTATTAGATGTAGGACTTGCAAATATTTTCTCCCATTCTTTTGTAGTATACTTTTGTGCAATTGCAATACATCTTTTAAAGCAGCTGTCACCTGTCAAAATACAAAAGTGACCCATACAGTCACAATTCCTGAATTGGCCGTGAAACAGAAGTATGAGGCAACTCTCTCCAAATGTCACTTTCTAGAATGGCTCTAGAAACTTGTCTTGGACCAGATAAGGGCAGAGCCAGCTAGACACACCCCAAGAACCTACCTTGTCTTGGGGGTGACTTGGCCGTAGTCAGATCTGAGGCAGCTCATTAAGCCGGAGGCAGGGCTTTGCCAGCTCAATAACCTGGATGCATCATTTAAAACATCCAGGCCTGTTTCCTCCCCTGGAAATGGGAAGACCTGCCCTGCTTCCCTCACATGATCAGTGAAGTGAATGTGTGTATGTGAAAGCATTTTGCCTCCTGGACAGCATCATACGAAAGGAAGGTGAATTCTGCGTCAAGTAATACGGAGCTTCTTGAATTCTCCCCTCAGCCCTTCAGATCCTGGAAGGAGCAAAGAGGCTGCAGGAATTCGGGGGAGGAGAGGTCCTATTTCCTGGATTTAGCATTTTTTTTACACCGCGGTCACAGGAGATAATGTCCTGAAAGGGAGAATTTCTCTAAAAGGCTGTTTGGGGATAAAATTGGTGTCCTAGAGAGGGGTCCCAAAGCAGAGGCACCCCCTTTCTAGCATGGCTTTTTGTGCTGCTCTTCACTTTTTCTTTTTTTACTGTAGTAAAATATACATACAATTTACCACTTTAACCATTCGTGATGGTTCAGTTCGGTGGCAGGAAGCACATTCACCCTGTTGTGCAGCCCTCGCCACCATCCCTCTCCAGAACTACTTCTTCCCAAACTGACACTCTGTCCCCATTAAACACTCCTCATTCCCCTCCCCCGGCACCCACCCTTCCACTTTCCACCTCTTTGAGGTTGTCGACTCTAGGGATCTAGTGTAAGTGAAGTCACACGGTAGTTGTCCTTTTGTGACTGGCTTCTTTCACTCAGCATCATGTCCTCCAGGTTTGTCCATGCTGTAGCATGCGTCAGAATGCCTCTCCTTTTTTAAGGCTGGATAATATTCCACTGTATGGACAGACCACATTTTGTGTAGCCATTCTTCCATTGGTGGACATTGGAGTTGTTTCCATCTTTTGGATATTGTGAATAACGTCTTCCTTACTTTTTGTAAATCCCTAATGAAAAGTTTGCCACAGGGCCACAGAGCCATGTGAGAGTGGCCCCCTGTGTTGTGTTCCTGGAGTAGCTGCAAGCAGTAATGGGGCCAAGGTCTAGGGAGGGACTTGCTCTAGAAGGTGGAGCAGAGGGTTAAGGGCAAGGAGAGAGACCAGGGTGGCAAAGGCAGAGGGTGTCCCTGACAGGAGCAGCTTTAAGCACCTTTTGAATACCTGAGAATGGAGATTAGAATTGGGGGCTGCCTGGGTCCCACTGTGAGGTGTGAGGATATGTCTGGGGGTAATGGGTGGGGGGAAGCCACCAGCACTGTGGACTCAGCTTTGTCGGGAGAGGACAGGAGCCGTGTGCTTTCTCCAGCTGGGGGTGAGGGGGGGTGAGTTGATGGATTCTGAGACTGACAGAGTCCCAGGAAGTGGCAGAGACCAGGAAATGACACTGCAGAGGAGTATGGTTCATGTGGAAAGTGGGGGTTCAGTCCAAAGACCGTGTCCAGAGGAGGAGTTTAAGGCACTTGCTTTACTTTTTGGAAAACTTTAAGAAAGGAGTGATGGGAGATAGTTCAGGGTAGCCAGGTGTTTTAGTTTATTCGGGCTGCTATAACTAAGTACCAGACTCCATGGCTTACAAACAACAGACATTATCTCTCATGGTGCTGGAGGCTGGAAGTCCGAGATCAAGGTGCCAGCACCACCAGGTCATGTTCTGGTGAGAGCCCTATTCCTGGTTCAGAGTCGGCCATCCTGTCAGTGGGACCTCACATGGTGGAACGGGTGAGGACGCTCTCTGGGGTCTCTTTTAGAAGAACAATAATCCTGTTCATGAGGCTCCACCCGCATGACCTAAGAACTTCCCAAAGGCCCCGCCTCCTAATACCATCATCTTTGGGGGGGGGGTCCAGATTTCAACATACGAATTCTGGGGAAGCCTCAAATGTTTATTCAGACCATAGCACCAAGTATGCATGAACTTTGGCTTTGGACAGCCCTAGTTCCAATCCTGACTCTAGATCCCCTTTCAAATGTGTTTCTTCAGCTTTTTAAGGTTTAAATGAGAGGATCCAAGTTGTGCGCTTCCAGGGCTGTCCTCGTCGTCTCACGTTCTAAGATGCTGGCCTTTGAGCCGTGCAAGCCTTTACCCCTGGGGCCTTGGTTGCTTCTGTGAATTCCCTGGAGAGGGGATAGGCAGGTGCAGGGGCCCAGGGATGAGAGGGATCATGCTCTAGCCTCTAGAATGGCCCGCACAAAGGTTTTGTAAATATCTGTCCTTTGTAAATATCTGAACTCTTCTGAATGTAGGGAAGGAGCCCGCCAGGGATGGTGTTTTCAGGGTGAAGGTGAAGTAAAGCATTTGAGGACACAGATACCTCTGGAGGGCATGCCCCTGTATGTCCACTTCTGAGGCATATATGGCACCAAGCAGATGCTTCCCTGGGTAGGAAGTACTGTTCTAGAAGAGGACAGGAAGAGTCCTGTCTGATCCAGGATTTGGAGGCATCAGAGGTCATAGATGACACCAGAATCAGAGACCTGCCCTCAGGAAGAAATCGGAGCTAAGGAGGAAGTTCTCTCTGATAGAGAAGTTTGCTCTAGAGAGTAAGGGACCTCCTGGGGTAGGCGGAGGGGATGAGGTGCCTAGTTATATCCCAGAGGACTACTCACACCTGGTCAGGGGCCGGGGGGCGGTGGAGGCTGAGTGGGAAGTGCCACTCCCAAGGCCGACTTGCAACTGCTTCCACTCAGGGCCAAGCTCTTCCCCCAAACCCCAGAGAAAACCCTCCCATCCTGTTCTTTGAAACTATGTGACCTATTTTCCCTTTGCAACAGGTGAGTTCTGTGGAAGGAAACTACCTAAACCAGGACACCCCATCTTTTCTATTGTTTATTTATAATCTTGCTGGGAACTGCATTCTTATATTAATATCCAGCTTATTTGATTTTTATTTTGATTTATAGTATTGAGCGAATTCTAACACACAGATTAGTTGCAAATGCTGTTTTAACAGCTCATCTTACAGAGACTACTCTAAAGACAAAAACAGCTTTACTCTCTATCAGGTCTGCACACAAATAAGCTGGCAGCAGAAATTATTTTCATGTCTTTGACATGTTATTTTGTATATTACATTTAAATGTATTGCAGTTGTAAAATACATATTTCAACTGCTTTTACTTCAAAGTT